CATTCAAATATCATCATTTTTTCATAGCTTTCTAGAGCCATTTTTGTGTGAAGGTTGAGTTGTTCTTGAGCGTACTTAGTTTACTCATAATCTACTCTATAAGAGAGTCTCGTTCTTGAGTGTACTTGTGTTCTTAGACACGTTGAGAGATAGTACCTCTCTCGGTTGATTCAAAGGAAGGATTGTTTCCTTTGAAGGATTCGTTGAGGTTCGTGTGACTCGAACTCTCAAGTTGTAACGGTTTGTTAAGCACCCACAAGCTTAACGAGATAGTAGTGTAGCTCGAGAGAGTCTCTCGGGAGGCTGGATTAGCCACAAGTTGTGGTGAACCAGGGTAAAATTCGGTGTGCCTTTTTCTCTTTCCTTTACTTCCATTTTAATTTTTTTAATTCCTGCGATTTCTCCGATCAAACGCTATTCATTCCCCCTCTAGCGTTGGTCTATTATTCTAACACAAATGGCGCCGTTGCCGGGGATCGGCGCAGAAAGTTATTAGTTAGATTTCTTTTTAGCCTGAAAGAAAGTTGATAGAAACGATTTTCATATAAAAAAAAACAATAAATACTTTTGTTTTAATTTAGTTTAAAATATTTTCCCGCTTAATTTGTTAAACTTTTATTTCCCTTTATTAAAGTGTTCCTAGGTTCAACTTTTATTTTTTTAAAAAAAGAGAAAAAATCTAGTAACTACCTTTTTTTAAAATAAAAAAAAACAATAAATAAATAAATAAATATTAATAAAAGGTAATATTTCCAAAACACAAATATATATATATATATATATATATATATATATATATATATATATATAATCTTGAATAGTACCTTTTTAGTTATCATTAGGTGGTTGTTTGAATTCTTCCTCTAGCCTTCAAAATTGTATGAACACTCGTTCTCGCGGTGAGAACATTCTTCTGGGAACCAAAAACCCCGAACTTTTGCTCCGACGCCGCACCGTCAAAGTTCCTCGTCAACTGGAGTTCAACGACGAATAGCGAAGAGAAGAAGAAGAAGAGTTGGAAGAAAATCACGAAGAAGAGAACCAACAGTCGGAAGAAGAAGAAGAAATGGCGGCTAATCCCAGACGAACGATCCTTCAAGCTATGAGCCCGGCGTACGTAGAGGAAGATCCCATAGGTCTCCCCGCTAGTCAAGCCCATTCATTTCAGATCAAACCAGCAATGATCCAAATGGTCTCGAATAACCAATTTGGAGGCTCAAAAGCTGAAGATCCAAGGGCACACATGCTATGGTTTTCGAGGACCTGCCAAACATTCCAGTCCAACGGTTTATCTATGGATTGTGTTAAACTATCGCTTTTTCCCTTTTCCCTTCGGGATCGTGCCGCCAGATGGTTGAACACATTTCCTAATGGCCACTTCAAGACCTGGGAGGCATTGCACCAGGCGTTCATGCACGAATATTTTCCACCCTCCGCCATGGTAAAAATTAAGAACTCCATCCAAAACTTCCGTCAAGCACCTATGGAATCAATGAGCGAAGCATGGGAAAGATTCAAGGAGTTGAAGGTTAAATGCCCACCTGCTTTAATTGATTCCGATAGTTTGATGTTCTACTTTTACCAAGGCTTAACGGTACCATCTAAGAAGGAATTGGACCACTCTTCTAAACTTGGTTCTTTTCTGGAGATGACACCTGAGGAGAATGAGGAGTTAGTAGATAGACTTACGTCGAAT